AAAATATTTAATAAAAAATGAATAAATAAAAATAAATATAAAAACATTAAAAAGTTTATAAAAAATAAATCAAAAAAATGTGAAACAATTAAAATGGATGGAAATTGACAACATGGGACAGGGAGAATACTAGGGGGTGGGGGGATGAAAATGACCTGAAACCACTGAGGGGGTGCAGGTGAAAGGATATCAGCCTGGCCAGCATAGCACACATACATGTGTGTAAACATACATACACATACACATATACATAAATAAACAAACATACTGTATATATACAGGGCTGAGCTGTTGGCAGGGCTCATTCAGTACATATACAGTACATAACATGCAGTGAAAGGTTCAATTACCTGGTTCTCTGTCCCCAGAGATCTCAGGCCTCCTAACAGCAGGAAGAGACAGCAGAGAAGCTCCATCCGATGAGAAGAGAGTGCCAGATGCTGGGGCTGGGAGAACCACACACAGTTCATATGGCCTCGGGCACTGCCTGTGCTTGGTGCCTCACAGACAGTCTGCACAGTGTAGGGACGATGTGAGACTCCTCGGCGGGTGGCCCTCAACGGACAGCACACAAATGTCTCTGTGAGTGGAGACAGCGGCAGCATGTGACTCCTTCCCCGTGAGCTCGCTTAGAGCCGGTCCTGCCCGTGAGTGACCGCCGGTGCGGCGGCAGCCTTTTTTTAGGGGACACTTCTGTAATTGCCTGCTTATGACCGGGCCCCACACTGCCCAGGGCCCCATAGCGACCGCGTGGGTCGCTATGGCGGTAGTTACGCCACTGTGTCAGGATGGGTGGCTAGTTGTTAGGGATTAGTTAATTTTTCCTTTCAAGGTCTGCTCTAAACCGTATTTATTATTTACCCACACAAGCACAGCTACAAACTCCTTCCACATGGTGTCCAGAGCGGGATTTCAACCAGGGACCCCCATTGCTGCAGGGTTTGCGTTGTGACGATAATGGGGTGTGAGTCTGAATATTAAAAATAGCATTCTCTTGTCCTCCAGTCAGATCAAATGCAGGCCATCATTTAGTCATTTTCCAGGCCTTCCACATTCCACAGAACAGAGATCTACTTATCTGGCTGTGATCTTTATTGCCCTAGCCCTAGTGAAAGTCACAAATAACTCTCTAAGCCTTTTATAGCTGTCCCTAATTAAAGGCATGTCACCAGGCACTCATCTATTACCAGTGGACAAGTTAAAGGAGAACTATGGGGTTAAGGCTTTTCCCCATAGTTCTCCTTAGGGTAACGGGAGGACACAAACTAGCGTCCTCCCATCACCCTAGGCTCAGTATACCGCGAGCTGTAGCTGCTGCTCGCGGTATACTGAGACGCCGCAGCTGAAGCGGATCCCGACAATTGTCCCGGGATCCGCCCAGCTGCGTGACTGACAGCTGGCTCTGCCTATCTAGAGGCAGAGCCAGCTGTACCCGCCCCCTCCCCGTCCGTTCCGCCAGTCAGCGCTGGCCTGGCTCGCAGTCTCCCCTCTAATTCATACCAAAGGGGTTCTATCGGGTTGAGGTCAGGACTCTGTGCAGGCCAGTCAAGTTCCTCCACCCCAAACTTGCTCATCCATGTCTTTATGGACCTTGCTTTGTGCACTGGTGTGCAGTCATGTTGGAGCAGGAAGGGGCCATCCCCAAACTGTTCCCACAAAGTTGGGAGCATGAAATTGTCCAAAATGTCTTGGTATGCTGATGCCTTAACTACCTCCCGGTCGGCCGTTGTGTATACACGGCCGACCGGGACCTTCTTGGATGCAACTGGGCGTGTATACACGTCCTGTTAGTCCCGCCCGCTTGAGCGGGAAAAACACAATTTAAAAACCGGCAGCGATGCGGATCGCTTGTATGGGGTCTCGGTATGTGCCCCCCGTGGCTCCCCCCCTCCCGATGTCACGCTGATCCCGAGCCCGGGACCAGCATAGTAGATCTCTGACAGGGGATGAGAGGGAGGTCGGTTCACGATCTCCCTCTGGTCCCCTCTCTGCTGTCAGAATGCGGAAGTGGTGTATATTACATCACTTCCGCATTCTCGTGTCACTCTCCAGCTTCACATGCTGGAGAGAAACTGATGAAGATGATGTCTCCATAAAGAGGACCTGTCACTTCTTTTGCTATCACATAAGGGGGTTTCTTAGCCCCCTCTGTGATAGCAATAAAGTTAAGTGGAAAAAAAAATAGGAAAACATTTTTAAGTTTCCCCCAAATTGGGCCCATTACGCCACACATGTTACATATCGCCGCGCACTTCACAGTGAGAGCAATAATTTTATGGCCATCAATCACTGATAACACTAAACTGATGAGCTGTAAAAGCTTTTAAAGCGTCGCCTATGGCCAATTTTGGGTATGCTAGTTTTTTGTGATTTCGCGAGTGCGCGCAATTTTTAAGCTTTATTTACCCGACGTGACCCCGTCTTTTATATTTTACCAAAAAAGTGAGTATCATGGAAACCCATTCCATGAAGCACTCTACACACTGTTGTAGCTTTCATTTTGGTCTAGAAGCTGCCTCTTCTCCCCCGGGCTCCTGCGGTCTAAGGACTGTTGACGTCATTACACCTTAGACATGAAGATGCAGAGGGACATTATAGCCGGAGGCCAGTGGGGGCTGATTGGAAAAGTCAGCGCTGACTGCGGCAGGAGATGGAAACAGGTAAGTAAAACAGCTGTGTTTGAGTCCCCTAGACAAAATGAGCACTTAACCCTTGCAGTGCGGGGGTAGAACCACTACAAGGGTACGCTTTCTGTTTCTCTGTTTAAAAAAAATATTTGTTGTGTTTAGTGTATTTTGTTCTTAAAAGAGTTAGGTCCTTATAGTTGCTCAAGTAGCAGTCATAACTAAAAATTAGCATTTTAATTAGACATGGTTCTGTAAAAATGAAGAGCCTAGCCCCTTGCTACTATGTCAAGTGTCACCTGGGATGCCATTGTCTTCTACTTTTCTGTAACACTTTAACCCATAAACCTTTTAAATCTTGTAAACATCGGCAATGTTTGAACAGAATTATAGTAACAAAAAATAATGTAATCACAAAAAGTTTAAATTTATAAAAAAAAATTTTTTTTAGAAAGGATTCTAAATATACTATACACATTGAATATGAGCATGGACTACATAGATTTGCTGAAGCGTATCAACTTATAAATAAGACTCTCTGTCCACTTTGTTCATGGGCCAAAACGCAGTGCAAGTCTTGGGAAGATCCTTTGAGTCTTTGTGCGAGTAAAAGGTAGTCTCTGGATTCAGCATGTTGCCAATATTTTCTGAATTCAGGAACTTGTGGTCAGCTTGAAATGTAGAACCTAGATTGATCTTATCTTCTGTTTGAGAATCCTAGAGACAGAACATATCTATTAGTATGGTATTTAAAAAAAATCAGTTTAACATGTAGGGTTCTATTTGTAAACAATTCACAGTGCCATTCTCCCTGCAAATCTCTGAACAGCCGTTCTGTATGAATAGAGGTAAAAATGAATGTCAGTATATTTCTAAGTCAAATGTAATGTCATGTTGCATTATGGCCACTAGATGGAGCTGAGGAGCATGGAGGATTAGTGTTTATTTCCTATGCTGCTCAGCTCTATCTAGTGGCCATAATGCAGTATTACATTGCATGCAACCTGAAAAGAAAATATACATAGAACTTTGTTTTTGCCTCTATTTGGACAGAATGAATGTTCCCAGGGCAAATGGCACTGCAAACTGTTTATAGACTCCCTAATTTACCAAAATGCATTGTCATTTATAGTTGTTGGCAGAGTTTTTTAACTACACAGTCATCATTTTGGGGTAAACCATCATTAAAAAAAACACATATTTGCAGCCAAACTCTGGGAAAATGTGTCATTTACACACTGTTCTGAGTGTGTAAATTATTATAAAAAAAGCAAAGTTATGCGTATAAAAATATTCTGTCTCCTACACATAATGCTGGTCTTCCGGTCACTGCGGGGAGTGAGGCATGTGACACAAATACTCTAGTGCTTTAGTGGCATCTCTGCCCCTCCTCGCTTCTTGCCCATTCACAAAATGTCTTGTATTTTTTCTGAAAGAATACAAGGAGTTCTCTGATTGAAGGAGGAGAGATTATTTCACATCCCCACCCTTGAATGCCTCCTGATCTTTAAAAAAAAATACAAGGCTTTTTGTGAGTAAACAAATAGTGAAGAGGGGAGGGGATGCAACTGGAGCACCTTTCTGCTCGTGTCACATCCCTCAATCCCTGCAGTGCCCAGAAGACCAGCGCCATTGTTTGTTGATTAGAACTATCTTAAAACAGTAAGGGAATAGTTCAGAATCCCAGTCACCTACCTTCTCAGAGTTTGTTTTCTTCTCAACTGATAATAAGTTGGAGTCCCATACCAAGTCCCACCATAGCAAACCATGGGCTAGTGTTTCTTTTTTGGTAGGACCTAAATTAGAAATGAGAGGGATTCATTCAGTCTGTTAATATAATATCTATAGCTACATGGAAGTAGACATATTTGCTTTTTACATACTCAGGTGCTGCCTTCTGCTTTGCAGTATTACATGATGAATGTACTTTACTGCTCTTTCTCACAAAGCAAGTCTTTGAGTCAGCTCTTTGCAAACAGTGTATAACCTATGTGGCTGATAACTTATCTTACAGTTAAGACAGTGTCAGAATAATTGCATGGAGCCACTGAGAGGTCCTTTTTTGACTACAAATTTTAGCATTTTATTCAAAAACTGAAATCCAGAAGAACAAGCTTATACAAATGACCTCAGATACAAAATGTTAAAATAAAATGAACTCCAAAACATATCTTTATATGTCCAAATTAGATATATTACCTGTCAGCTGACTAATTATAGCTCCAGTTACAACTGTACTTAGGGTGCCCAGTGCACCATAGTACAGGTACGATAAAGAGTAGAATTGATCAGCGATAATTGTCCTGTTGGGAAAATTAATCAATAAATACACATTCAAACACTTCTGTTTTACTTTGTCTGTTGTCTGGATTTGGACTTTAATATTACAGCATCAAATATAATGGTTAGAAATCACAATTTACAAGATGGCAAAATTATGCAAAACAGCCTAATGCAGCTCATAAACTATTGGCATGCATAATAATATACAGTATATAAAGAAAGGTTTAAAGTGGTCTTTGGCTAAAAAGATTAAAATGAGAATTTGATACAAGAAAAGAACAATAGCAATATGGTGGAATTAGACTAACAAGGCTATTCATAAAAGGGTGAAGAGTTTGGAGAAGGCAGGAGAAGTGAACAATCTAGGCCAACATAGCTGAACTGGAAATTGTTCACTTCTCCTGTCTTCTCCAAACTCTTCATTCTTTAGTGAATAACCCTGTAATTTTTTTATTTTTGAGATCCATTCATTTTGAATGAAAATGCTGGTGATATATTGTTACTTTGTATGACCAGATTAGCTCCAGCCAAAACTTTTTTCAGTTTTAGATACAGTTTGAAAGAGTTATATCCTCAGATTTTCATTGCTAAAAGTAGGTCTGTAAAAATAGGGCACTCCAGTATAAACAGAAACACAATAAAAACAAATAATTAACAAAGCTACTAACAAAATAAACATGGCTATCATAGGAATACTATTTTCACTAAAATCAAGGGTATGAGATAGTATTTGGCGTAAACACTATTTGTGTTCTAACCCACTATTTGGATTTGTTTTATCTATTTATATTGGAGAGCCATTATTTTACATAACTTAAAGAGACACTGTCACCTTGCCCATGCCCATGTGTCTCATTTACAGGGCTGGATTTACACTAAGCTAGCTACCTTATATTCACCTCAACCTCCAACACCTGATTGCTTTAGAAGCTGTCCACACTAATACTAGGTCCAGTAAAAACACAATCAGTAACATACTGATGATACAACCAGAAACATATCTGCAGTATTTGCAAGGTGAGGCAGCATTTTACTGAGCAGTGTCAGCCTTAAGACTTTTATTCACATAAAATGAGATCAGGATAAAGGGGAAGTGGCACTGGATGTCTTAGGCTCCATGAGCCTTAAAGAACAACTGGATGCTAGTATTTGGAAGTAGGCTGAGCGCTAGGTACCGCCCCTGGTGCCGGTGCTGTCCTTGGCCATGGCCTATGTGGCCTAGCAACAATCTTCAAGCACACTTTTGGCAAATACATAAGTTTGAAAAATATATAGCACATAAGCTATCAGAAGGCACCTTCAATTGTTGCATCCGTCAGTGCAATATTGCCTATCTCCATTCTGGTTTCACTAACTGATGGTGGAGATGCACACACCCAGTGGAAGTCATAGTTGCCAAGGGTTCTTCTGCAAGAACAATTTTGGGTCCCCCATCCAAATGCTGATAAAGTACAAATACTTTTTCCCTGTGTATAGATAGATGTGTAGATTGATGCAGACAAAGAGTAGACTTTACTAAACGCTGCATTCTCCCTTTACTTACAGTCCAAATGGCACCAAGAGGAATTTGTAGAAGCATTGCACATGTCTCAGTACCTTTCAGCTAGTAAATTAATTTTGATATTGCACATTAGGAGCATAATTCGGAATGCCTCCTGCCTCTCATCTGAGTATTTTCCAGATGTATGTAACAGCAGGGGGAGGTCCCAGCACCTGTGCAATCATAATCAGCAATAAATGGGCCCCTAAGGCCCTAAGAGCCCATTTGTAGCTACGCTGGAGTATATTATACTGTACACACAAATACATCTCTCCCTACGCAGTCAGCATCAGTCAAGTGATGTATATAGAGGTGATGATATCAGTAAAAGGCATCCAACATTTTTTTTCCACAGATGCAGTGTGGAGGATTCTTAACCTAGAAGTTTAAACCTGGCTACCTGTGGTGACAGCAGGGTGGGAGAAATGGATGTGGGCACCCTATCTGGTGAAACACTACCCTCTATATTTTTAATATAATTTATTTTTATAGCTTTTCTCCATTGATTGACATCCTTTTCTCTCGTTGGATCTCTCATTCAAGGTGGCCGAGAACCAAAGTAAATCCCAGTTGGAATTATGCTGTATAGTTAAATACCAGTCACTCCTGGGCACTGGGGTGTTGCGGAGCCAGGTACTTATCATCAAGTACTGGTGCTTTGGGATGGGTGCTACTTTATTTTGGGTACCCATCTCAAAGCAACATCCTCATGCTGGGAGGGAGCCATGCTCTTGCTGCTTCCGTACCAGCATTGGCTAAGGACAGTGTGGACAGGTAAGGTGAATGAGTCTGGCAGCTGCATTCATGATAGACTGAAGGGGGGATAGCCTGTGTAGTGGAAGGCCAATGAGGAGGGAGTTACAATAGTCAAGACGAGAGATAACAAGTGAGTGGATAAGTAGTTTTGCGGTTTCTTTGGTGAGGAAGGGGCATATTTTTGAGATATTTACATATATTTGTTACCTGTCTAGAGCTGTAGTAATGTTCCTTGGAGGAGGAGAGCCATAGATGATGCCATCACTTGAGTTGTAGAGAGGGCAGTGTTCAGCATAGGTGGGCAGAACTCCCATCATCTCTGGGGATGGGGGGTAGAGGGTACCACCAACTGCTACCCAAAAAGATAAACTAAATCCTACAGCAAGCCCGGAGAACACACCCTGGGACAGGAGAAGCATAATAAGTACATATCAAGAATAAAATCCAACTGTAAAATCAATGTTAAAATGATATTTCAAATTGTATGTTTTTAAAACAGGCCCTGAGAAATTAATATAATATATACTTGCCTATTTGAATCCATCTAGTGGAGGACACATGAAAGATTTTTTTATACCCTATTGTTGCAAATCTATAGAGCACTGCTCAGTTTCCTTTTCCTTCATGCAGGATGTTCAATGGATGATGTTATGTTGTAGATGCTAATGCTACCAAATCTGTACCTGTTCACAAAGGAATTAACATAAAATAGCATTTTATGTGTGTTATGTGTGTTTGCAATTTGTCCCTTACCCATACACATTTAAAGTGACCCTGCCACTATGCAGGCAAGACAAAATTTAAAGCAACCTGTAAAACAAGAATATGTATTCTTACCTTTTGTTGGCCTTTTTGTTGGAGTTGTGTTAAAACTCCACCATGTTGCTGATCTCCAATCACTGCAGGCACTGACACCTCCAGATGTATTGAATACTTGCTCCCATGAAATTTAGTTACTCTCTCTGACCTATATCACTGGAGTTTTAAAACATGGTCACCAGAAAGTGAAGCATACATCATCTTATTTTACAGGTTGCCTTTAATTTGTTTTGAATGCATAGTGACAGGTTTGATTTAATGATTTTTGAATCCGTGTTTAGTGCTGCTTATGAGCTGAGCAGCCCGGAAGTGCCCTGATAAATGGTCACCTCGGGATTATGCAGGATTACTGAGCTATTCACTTACCCGAAAATATATATCATTAGGTGTTTATCTTGGTTACATCTATTAGTACTAAGCTCTTGAGATTTATATAGCCAGTAAAAATATATGTATATGCTATTGACAGGTCTAATTATTTACAAAAACATTTGCATATAAGCAATTACACATACAGTAATCTGGTGTGGTTGAGAATGTGACAGAAATTTCTTAACTAGTATTAGCCAGCTCTCAATCATGAATCATTATCAATTATTATGCTGTCTAATATATCTTACATAAACTTTGTTGATCTGCAGCTTTGAGATTGAAAGTTAATCTAAAGCAAACTTTTTTATTTTATTTTGGATAGGGTTTAGAAGAACTACTGTAGAACACCTGTCATGTTTGTACTGTTGTCTGCATCCTAATGGATGGAGGCACTCTCTCTATTTGTCCTTGGTGTCCAATCCAAGACTAAAAGTGAGGGAAAATTGAAAAATGTGGGTTGTTACCAGAATACAGGGGAAATCTTACAATGGGGACACATATTTCAGTAACATCTGTCTACGAAGGTATTTCCTTATTTTGGAAAGATTTTCTATTCTTTTCTGTTATGTCTGGGTGACCTAAATGTAATGTAATTCTCCCGATTGGGAAACACACTTCAAAAAATGATCAATGTGCTTGATAAATTGTTGTTTTCAGAAAATACATATTTTTAGTATTCCTGATGGTTATTTTTATGTTTTTAAATATAGCATATACACATTTTGTATGCTCATTGTAAGCTACAGGGTACATCTTCAGGCTGTTTTTTATATACTTTCTTGGATATCTTGCCTGTTATTTACAGAGCTCCATAGCTTTAGGGGAAATCTATATACACTCATGAACAATTCACTCACAGCCTACATTATTAAACACACACTTTTTTTGCGTATATGTACTGCTAGCAAGCAGTAGATATATGCAAAAAAACGTTTTATTTTTTTTAAACCTTTTCAAAGAGGTTTAAACTTACCTGTGTCTTCGACGCACGCTCCCGTCCGAACATCTGAAGAGTCTCGGGCGGCCACAAAGGATCTTGGGGCGGGCGCATGCGCAGTTCAGATGTTCGGCCGGGAGACGAGGAGAGACACTAGGTAAGTCTATGGAGCAGCGTGCACTCGCACAGACACCGTGGGACATAAGAGAAGAGGAGGACAGAGGAGTCAGCGCTGGATCAGAGACCCACACCAGCACTGGAGGGACAGCTAAGAACTACAGGAAAGAAGAAGAAGATTGGATTAAGAGACATCATTTAAGGTAAGTCCTTACATTACCATTGTGAGGGGGACTTTTAACTTTAATGTCACTTTAAAGTTGTAATGTAGCAATGCTTGCTAGCCAAAATGTTCACAGTTGGATTAAGAGGAAAATAAAAGATTAGAATTTCCACTTAACCTTGTTGACACATTAAGTTGTCCCTTACTATCGAATTAGCCTTCAGTGCCAATTCAAACATACTCACCCATTTAGGGAGCAAAGACATAGCCTATTAAAGTCAACTGCATCTAACAGAAACATTTAAGCACCCATCTGCCTTTCCCCTGCTAAAGACATGGAGGAGTGGTGCTTTATTTCTGTGCTTTAGGGTTAGATACCTGTCAAGTATTTCTTACTCTGTGGGGTTAACTCCTGGGAGGGTTTACCCTATTTGTTCTAATAACCACTATTACTGGAAAATAAAGTGAGCAGGAATCTAAAATGTTATGGCTGTTGCTACAAAAGAAGGTGAGGGGAATCTTCTAATGTGGACACATTCTGCTGATAACTGTATTGGAGGGGAGTTCCCTTCACGTTGAAGAGATTTCTTCTTATTTCCTATTGTGTCTCTGTAACAAGAAGTCAAGGTAAATCTCTCCTCGATGGGACACAGACAGCAAAAAAGAACACTGTCGAAGTAACCATTCTTTGCAAAGTTAAAAAAAAAAACCTTTAGATAGAAATACACTGTAAATGCACAATGGGGTTGATGCTGCCACGTACATACCGTCGTGTTACATGAAGTGGTAAACATCCCTAGGATAAATGCTCCAAGGAGTGGGCCACTGATAACTCCCATTATTGTAAAGGAGCCCTGCACAAGAGAACAGAGACAGAAGTTAGAGAATATACAGTCAGAGAAACAGTATCTCTGGAATTCATAAAGAGTATCGTAGACACTTATAAGAAAACTGTCTAAAGTTAGTGCGAGAAATGTCACATCTAGCAACAGATTCATGTACCTGCCAGAAACATGTACATGGATTTGTTTGGAGGCTTGTGGGTAAGTATCACTAAGTTTCCGCAACTGTGTAGTCAGTTGGGGGCGGCACACGCAAAGATGTCCTGGTCTTAGTATAGCACCACTCTGAGCACTCTGGCCTGTGTCTGCATGCCATAAAAGAGTTAGTCTTAATTACCGTACCTCCAGTTTCCTTATCCGCAAACCAGCAGTAGTGTTTTAAATTTGTTGCAACCTCAGCAACACATTGTAAAAGTGGCGCATATAGGCAGGGGTGTCCCGAGGCCGGGTGTCACCCGGAGCGGAGACCGGGTGACACCCGCCGTGACATCATCGCACATGTGTGTGATGTCACCACACGAGTGCGCAATGTCGTCATCGCGCATTCGCTGTCATTTAATTGATGATGGACCCTGGCAGAGAAAGGTGGGGATGTTCCCCCCGCGGGTCCCCACCTCTCTCCTGACACTGTCGGGCTCTTCATGTCCATGACCTACTTTTTAGAGGGGGTGACACCAAAATGACTGTCAGTCATTTTGGTGTCACCACTCCAATGGTGTCAATGGTGTCACCCGTGTGCACTCCCTGCACCCCCCTTGTGACGCCACTGCAAATAGGAGCTTCCTGAATATGCTGCAGATGTCAGAATTCTTAACTCTTGTTGCAAAGCTTTCATGAATTAGACACAGGGCTTCTTAAAGGGTCTCTACCGCCAGAAAATTGTTGCAAATATTATAGTGAATGACCCTCTTTATCGCAATTTCTGCTGATCACCAGATAGTACCTGTAGAACACCACCACCAAGTAGTGATGACAAGGCAGCTACTGTAATGCATGCACATCCATAAAAGAGAGCTGAAAAAAAAGAGAAAGAAAATGGAACTTTTATATACCGTTCTGTCTGTAATACTACTCAATCAACACATTAGTCATAACCAACATAAATGTAATAAATGTTTGCATTGCTAATACTGTACAGCATAGTAAATAGTGTACCTGCACCTCTGCCTACAAATGCCATACCAAAAATCAAGGAAATGTAATATAGACATAGCTTGCTTATGTAAGGGGCTGTTCTACTTCCTAACTCTATAGTAGGTGTGGAATGAAAGAAGTGGCCAGCATGTACTCAGGACCCTCACAAGGAGGTTTGGATTTTGCTGTGTGATAATCCTATTTTGTGGTTTGTCATAGTGGCAAAAGCATAAGATCTGACAAAACTAATCTAAAGTATGAAATAAACAGGCAAGTGTGTAGTGTAACAACAGAAAATCAAAGGGCAGGCTAGGGATGTAACCAGCAGCAAAACAGCAGTCATGACTCAGTCACAGAACATAAAACAGTGCTGCAATACACTATACCATCCAGCGAATGGTATGGCTAAATGTTTAGTGGAAGGGGATTGGGTACCAGACCACATTGGAGAAATAACTATGATGTAGGAGTTGGCTGACAGGACAGCTGCCCACAGCAAATTAATGGGAACTGCTGATTCCTTTCAGTTTGCTGAAAATACTTATGCTGGTTTGGTTTGTTGGTGAAAGTGCTATGCATATTTGCTGCTGACTACTACTATGAAGGCATGAACTGAATTTGGCAACACATGACATGAAACTGAACTTGTCAAAGATTATATTCACCAGTCTGATATATACTAGAGACTAGTCTATACACTAATGATAAGTTTGAACCTTGGAAATAATCAAAGAAGTGGAATGAAATGGTCATGAGGCATGTCATTCCATAGCCAAGTGACTGTTTTATTTCTTAAAGTGACATTAACTCAGGAGTTAAACCTTAAAATGCATTCAAGTACCTTCACTATTAACAAAAATGTATCTTATTTGTGTATGACTCGGCTGTAGATCCTCAAATCATCTCTGAATTGGTGCTGACACTGATCTTCCTTCTGAAGGGTGGCTACTTTTGTTCCCCATGGCCTCTGTGTCTGTTGTAAAGTAGCCAACGCTCCAAGCTCGCTCCAGTGATGGACTACAATCTCATGTTTAGTTTACTAATTTGTATTGAGATTGTAGTCCATCACTGGAGCGAGCTTGGAGCGTTGGCTACTTTACAACAGACACAGAGGCCATGGGGAACAAAAGTAGCCACCCTTCAGAAGGAAGATCAGTGTCAGCACCAATTCAGAGATGATTTGAGGATCTACAGCCGAGTCATACACAAATAAGGTACATTTTTGTTAATAGTTATGGAACTTGAATGTATTTTAAGGTTTAACTCCTGAGTTTAGTGTCACTTTAACCTCTTGCCGTCCGCCCGTAGTAAAAAAACGGACGGACGGCACTGCTGCATCTGCGGGTTGCCGTCTCCAGACGGCAATTTTTTTCTGCTCGCGCGCGCCCCCTAGCGGGCACGCACGGGCAGAAAAGACCTGATCAATGCACACACCCGTTACCGGGTGTTACACATATAGGCGATCAGCGGGTCCATAGCCCGCCGATCGCTTATATGTGCTCGTTCGCGGCGC